CACTTGCAGTATTCCATCGACTGCAGGGCCTTTGCACACACCCTCCCCTCTGGGCCCAGCGCTCTTCCCTCTCCTCCTCTCTTAGTGACCCTGCTCACACTTTGGATCTCAACTCAAGTACCACCTGCTTGGGGAGCCGCCCCTGTCCAGGTCAGTCCATCTCCCTGGCAGGAGTGAGTCGAGATTGGAACGCTGGCCTGGCCCTATTGGATTTGCAGCACCACACTTAGTCTGCTCATCATTAGAGCTCTTCCCTGGTGATCAAGGGTCCTCTGGCTTGGCCCAGCCCCCTCTGCTGGTAAGAATCACACTGGAAGGGGCTTGGGGCCCACAGTGCTGTCTGGGGCTCAGTCCTCCTCTCCAGCCACAGGTTCCTGGTGCCCTCTGGGTAGAGAGGTAGGTTAGTGATGACCCAGTGGGGTCTTGACCTGAATGCACTTTTGCTCTGATCACAGCTGTGGACCTACAGGGCTGCCCACCCGAGCACAGCTGGTTCTAGTTCATTCAGAATTGCCCTGGGGGCCAGCTGTGGCCTGACTACTAGTAACATTGGTTGAGAAGCCTGGCAGCCAGATGAAGCCCTTGCAATAAGTGATAAGACCAGACCTGCCTTTGTTCCTTGGGGCCAGTGGCATGGATCTTGGTGGTGAGATGCCCACACTTTCCCAAGATATGTGAACTTACTACTAGTAACATTGGTTGAGAAGCCTGGCAGCCAGATGAAGCCCTTGCAATAAGTGATAATACCAGACCTGCCTTTGTTCCTTGGGGCCAGTGGCATGGATCTTGGTGGTGAGATGCCCACACTTTCCCAAGATATGTGAACTGGATAAAATGCCTTTCTGGGAACTCAGTCCCTGGGCAGCTGACAGCTCACAGGTTGGGTTTTCTTGAGAAGTTACTTTATCCCAAATTACACTTTTGTGCATTATCTCATTGGATTCTCAGAACTCCATGAAGCTCTATTATTAGTCATCATGTTAGACGAGAAAGTCAAGGCTCCAGAAAGAAAGATTGGGGCATTGGTCAGGTTTGAGGAAGTACACAGCCTCAGCCCTCCAGTGTCCCTGCAGGTTTCCCTGTTTGGGAAGCTGGTGGTCCCAGCCTGGCTCTGCCTGGGTCTGAGTGTGGATGTGGGTCTGGTGGACACTTGGGTTGAGCCAGGCAGAGGTCAGGACTGAGAAGGAAGACAGCTCGTGAGCAACGTGATGTGAGGAGGTGTGCAAAAGGCTGCACAGAGTGGGACTGAATTTGGTTTAATCTGGGAAGACCATGGTGTAGCAAGACCCGAAGGCGCTGGCTAGGGAAGTGGAGGAAGAATTGGCTCTCAGGACCAGGGAGCAGAGGCAGGTGGAAGGAGGTGAGGGTATCCCTGAGACAGCCCACACCCTCCTTCTGCCTCTCCCAGCTCACACCCGGGGACGGGGAGGTGACTGGACTAGGAGCCTCCGGCCTCATGGTGTCTGTGTTACTTCCCACAGGCCACCATTCCAACACAGCTGCTGCCTCGCAGCCAGAGGAGGGGTGTGAAGGAAACCACATCCCACCTGGAGACAGGACCTGTGGTGCGCCCACTCCTGCCTTGGCTCGAGTGGTGTCTGATTGTTATTGCTATATAAAGTGCCTGCACCCCTGCCCGTTTTCATCCTTCTCTCAGAGCCATTCTGTAGCCAGAGTTGGGGCCATGTGGTCCAGCTTGTCCCTTCCTCTCCCATGACAGCCTGGTCCATCAACCCTCAGACCTGGTGGATGGCAGGCCCTCTTGCTGTCCGATTTTATAGAGGCTCAGATATATCAAGGAGTGAGCTCACCCCTGTGTGCCCAGCTCTGAAGGGGAGACCCCTCAGGCCTTAAATTCAGGCCTTCAGACACCACTGTTACTCTGCCCTTTCTAGTTTTTTACAGCTGTATGGGGGAGTACTGCATGTAGGTATTTTTTTTAAATGCCTGTGTACAATCTCAGAAATATTTGTTGAGAACCTAATAATAATGGTGATCATAATAACCACAGCAAAAGCAGTAAGAACAGCTCACACTTACTGTGCAGTCATTAGTTGCAGGTCTGGCATTGAGCTAGACCTTTCTCAGGCATTATCTCATTTCATATGCACAGCACCCCTGGGAGGGAAGGAAACCTCTCCTATTTGACAGACAAGGGTCTGTGGCTTACCCAAAGCCACAAGGGTGGTCTGGGCTAGAGTCCATATGTGAACCTGGCCAACAGTAAACCCTGTGAAATTCCCAGAAAGGCCTGGCCAAGGTGCTGAGTCGTGTTTTGGACTGTACTGGTGGTGTTTGGGCCTCAAGTGCAGTAGGATGCTGGTCAGAAGGAGGGGCGGGCTGCCTGGGACAGGCATGATGAGCTCCGGTCTGACCAGTACAGCTCGCTTCCAGGCCCAGGCTGCTGTGCTGAGTCTCCTGTGGTCTCTGCAGCTTTTTGGAAGTGTACTTGGAGGATGGTGTGTGGGACAGGAGAAGCTTCCTGGTAGCAGAGGGACAGAACATATGTGGGAAGGAGCAGTGAGGCCACCCAGAGAACAAAGCACTGTTGGGAATGCTTTTCTGAAGAAAAGTGTGCATTGAAGGCATGAGACGTGACGTCTGAAAGATGTATACCCGATGCCCTTACTTACAGACATCCTTGAAACAATAATGATGACTTCTTGGCAAATTACTATATTCCAAGCAAACATTGTTATCAAACACTTCTATGTGTTATCTCAATCAATTCTCAAAACTCTATGAAGATCTATTGTTTAGTCCTCATTTTAGATGAGAAGACAAAACTCAGAGAAGTTAAGTAAACTGCCCAAGGTCTCACAGCTTGGAAAGGACAATTCTCAAACTTGGGTCTCAAATTTTTGTCCTCCTACTTCCAAAGCCCATCCTCTACTGTCTGTCACACCATTTTCCTGGGCCAGGACCCCCGAAACATCCTTGGGGATGACCTCTTATGAGCAGGACTAGAGGGACCCTTGCCTTCCTGCAACAGAGATGGGATTGCAGCTGCCCAGACACTGCAGAGCTGACCATGTCATCGCCCTGCTCAGGAGCCTTCGCTGGCTCCTCACTACACACAAGATAAAGTCCAATCATGTAGCATGTCTTTCAAGACCCTGTAAGGCTTAACTCCAACAAATCATTCTAGCCCTATTCCCTGTTGCTCCTGCTTCAATCCCCACAAGCCCTCTAGTCACCCGGACAGCTCCAGTTTCCTGCTATCTATCTTTTACCTTGCTCCAGCTCCAAGACCCTTGCACATACTGCTCCCCCATATGTGGATTCTGCACAACCCTGTTGAAAGTTTCCTCTTCCAGGAAGCCTGCCTTGATCACTCCCTTGATCTCCCCCCAGTCTTCAAGCTCAGCACGTGAGCAGTTAAGAGACACTGTCTACAGAGGTGTGACCTTCCCACAGCTGGCTCCTTCTTTCCATTCAGGTTTCAGGAAATGTATCTCCCCCCAATGCCCCTGCCCCATCACTCATCCATCATGACCCCAGTTATATTTCCTTTGTGACACTGACTACTCTCTGAGATGGTTTTGCCTGTTTGTTTATTGTTTGTCCACCTTTCCCACTAGGCTGAGCTTTCCAAAGCAGGGAAGGCTTACCTTGTTCAGCCCTGTGTCCTGGAGGCTTGGCACAGTGCCTGACACATAACAAATATTCCATAATCATTTACTGAGTGATGGAATGAATGGCACTTGGGGTGTTTTGGCCAGACTGCAGGGAGCAATGTGCAGTGAGCTAGGTTTTACATGCATTGCTTGGGACAGATGAGGGAGGCACTTGCCCCTGGGTTCCAGCCAGCAAGTGTCAGGGGGCAGGTTGGGTCTCATGGAACATGAAGACAGGATGTGGAAGCAACCACCCACAGAGCTCGAAGACACACAAAGCCCCGAGGGAAGCCAAACCATGAACTGTTGTGTTTGAGTGTGGAGGGAGGAGCAGCTGAACCTTGGTGACACCCTAGGCTTTGTGCTGGGACAGAGACAAATATTTCTGGAGGCAACATCCTCTTTGGGGCAAAGTATTATGACCCCAAATTGTGGGCATTCAACTCCTTAGCCTGGTTGTCTCCCTTGCAGAGGCTAACAGATATAGAAGTAGGAAGATTTCTGGCTCTAATCCAAGGACGACATTATTTTAGTTACAAAAATAATTGGAGCTTGGCATTAATTTTGGCTATTTATGCCTCCCTCTCCTGATAAGCCTTTTATTTGCTTTTGTTTTTGTTTTTAATTTTTAATTTTTGGCTGCACCCTCCAACTCTCTCAGTGAGAGACCATTTGAAAAAGAAATCATTTGTCTTCATATCGCACACGCGGTCTGGGCTGGTGGCGGGAGAGGACTGTGCGTGTGGGTGGGCTCAGCTCCTTTAGCTGCGCTGGCTGGAGATTCCCAGCTTTTATTCAGCACTCGAGCTGTGCGCTCACTGGCAAGAGGCGGGAGGCTCCTGCTGCGTCCTTAGACACTCCCCCTGCACTGGCGGGGCAGAGGAGATGCTGCTCAACAGGCAAAAAGCAGGAAGGAGAGCTTGGTGCTCCCAGGGCTTGTCTCCAGCAGAAGGCATGAATCTCTGGGCGTCTCTGGAACCTTCAGAAGCCTGAAGGCAGGTGGTGCTGCCCACCCCTCCCTAAGCTGGTGGGCAGGAAAAAGAATTCCTGAATGGATCTCTGCATTGCTTAGACACACTGCCTGGGGAACAGTCCAGACCGGGGAGGTTTGGGCGACGGATCTGGAAAATGAAGACCTGCACATCTGGAGTTGGAGCAAGGACTAATCTAGTAGTAGCTCTGTGACAGGGCAGCTTTTGCTCCCCCCTGGGAGTCTGACTCAGTTTTGCCAGCAATCAAGAGGCAGCCACTAGAGGTTCACTTCCTCCCACTTTTTGGGAAGCAATCTTTAGGGGGTGTGCCAACCACCTCGCACCCTCACAGACCCTGGGTGGAATTTGCAGTCACCATGGTGCAAAATGTAATTCTAGTGTTTTTCCGCAGACGGCTGAGCCAAAGACCTGCTGTGGAGGAGCTGGAGAGAAGAAATATCTTGAAACGTGAGTAGCTAGTGATTCCTCTCGAGGTTTTCCCTCACGTGTGCTTAGGCTTTTGCGTGAATACTGAGCTCCTGTAACCTAGCCCATCTCTGCAGGCTTAATGCTCCTTGTACCCATTAAATCTGAGCAGCTGAGGAATTCTGAAAGCAAGCCCCTGCAATTGATACACACAGAAACATTCCCTCTTAAAATTTTGAAAATAAAAGCTTTCCACCTAGCATAATTAAAGGCGTTCCTGTTTTCAGGGTTATTAGTCCTGTAGATCTAAGGAGATGAATCTATACCCTTTTTGCATGTTGGGTTTCAATCAGGTTTTCCTGGCAGTTTTGTATGGGGCTCCTAATGGCCACAGAAATCACAGGCAAGGTGTGGAGAGTGTCATAAATCCTAACAGAAAAGGACACACCCCGGTTGTCACACCTAGGAGGAGGAAAGCAGTCACCTCAAAGGAACACTGAAACCACGGAAACTTTCCTGTGCCTCAGAACTCTGAGTCCAGGACTCTCTGCCCCTTTGAGCCTAGTGCCCCCTTGAGTTTCCTGGGCTGGGTATACAGTTACAGCATGTGCTGAACATAGGTGTCCATGAATAACCTCCATGGTATAGAGAACAATATTCCATTTCATTAAAATCATTGGCAATTTGGGGTTGTAAAACCCCATCAAAAATGTTACTCAGATAGTCTTCGATCTGGTCAACAGACTCCAGTTTTTAAAACATTGTCTACAAAAAGTGTCTTCTAAGGGCCTGGATTTTTTAAATATTTTCTTTCTTTTTTTCTCTCTTTATGTAATGAACATGCAGGCATTTTTTGAGTTCAGTTTTTTATTAGTGAACATCCTTTTACAAAATTATAACAGTACCAAGACTGACTTGTCAGAAAGCAGACCACAGAGCCCCTGTGGGTCTGGGTACTGAACTCTGATTTCTCTCTCCTTTTTTGCCACAGTGCCTATGTTAACTGCCTAAAACAATTCCCTTCTTCATAGATTGCTGAAAATGTTTAACCCTAAGAGTAAGATCCCTCGTATTACTTTTTAAATAAAGATATGTTGACTACTCTTTTATGTTATATTAACTAGGCCATGTCTGAAAATTTAAAGAAAAGCTTTCCATTGATAACATATGCTTAATTAAGTAGGCAGATAGAAAAGTCTAGCTGTTTCAGTTATCAAATATTTGAATTTTTAAAAATTAAGTCACTTCTTTGTAAAGCTTGTAAGTCATAGAGATGCCACTAAAAGTAATAGTCCAGACTTGAACCAGGCAGGTTCAAAACTTGTGAAGTGCCCCACTTTGAGTAGTCTGCTGCCCACAACAGGAAGGGAGTACAGCGGCCCAGGCTTTCACCCCGAGGACCTTTCTCCTTTCAGTAGTAGGTTCTTCCTCCTGTTGTGGGCAGCCAGGTCCTCCCACCAGCAAGTGCTTCTAATTGTGCTATTCTTTGCAAATAAATGTTGAAGCCTTAAAAATAAAACTTGGTTTGGTGAATAGACAGCTAGCAAGTGGATACCAGAACTGACTGCACTCACCTCAGTGCACAAAAGGGAAAATAGATTTCCTGTGCAGTAGCCATGGCAATCCTGCCATAAACACTGCACCTGCATGAGCAAACCACAGATTTGTCCTTAGCTTGGAAGCCTTCTCAATTGTCATGGGAGGACCTGAGAATTTCACTACAAAGTTTATGATGAGCGTGTGGTTTGTTTTCTTTTGTTCTGTGGGGATGAGAAAAGCGTAACCATAAATAGAACATCATACCATCATATACACAGGCCCTTGAAACATGGGACTTCAAAGACTCATGCTATACTGAATTTTCTGTTTATAATCAGTTCTTAGAATATCATCCTTTGTATTTGCTTCCCTTCAAGTGGGGAACTCATGACAAATTGCGATCATATCTGAGGAGCACTCAGAACCCTGCCTGTGTATTTATGGATATAAGCGCATAAGGCATGGTGGCCCCTTTATATACAATCGTAATGATAACTCTTTATCAGGCCCAATCTGCACCAGGCATTGCACTCAGTGCTTGGCGTTTTTTCCCTCATTTAATCATTACAACAAATTTGTGAGGCTTGCACTGCTTTCCCCATTTTACTTGTGAAGAAGCTAGGGCTTGGAGAGGTAATATGACTTTTTAACAAACGAATAATGGCAAGAGGACAAAGCTAGAGTTCAACCCAAGGTTTGCCTAGCACCATTGTCCATGTTCCTAATCACTGCATTAGAGGCAATAATAACTTCCTGAATATTTTTTGGAAGATTGGTGTAGAACTGTTCAAGCTACTGGAGCTATCTCCAAAAATATGGATATAGAGGCCCCAATTATGAATCCTTTGTTTCTCATAAGGCACAATGTTTTCTGGGTCTGGGAACAAGAGATTGCCAAACATGTCACTAAGGGGAAATTAGAGGGAGAAGCAAGTGGGCTTGGGCTATCAGGAAGGACTTCTTGGAGGAGGTGTTCGACAGAATGCCAGCTCAGAGAAGCATTCTGACAGGGACTTTCAAAGATCAACTCTCCAGAGACCCTGCTGTGCTCATATAACCTTGGTAATGATCATGACATTTTTCACTATTAAAAAGCCAAAGACTTGATTTTGCTTCAGTTTTTTCACATAGAGACTAGACTTGGGATTTGTCCATGGACTCTTTTTAAGAAATCTGAAGAATTAATTTAATATCACACTAAAATCCTTCATGGCTGGACTTATATGTGATACTTTGGCAATTTTTTTTTCTAATTGTATCATCACCTTTCTGATTATAGCTTCCAAGTATGGTTTCTTTTGG